AGCAACAGTTGCGGCTTTTATTGCTACGGGAAGCGACGAAGTATCGAGCGCATGCGTATGCGAGACGCGAATCACGCACGATCGTTTTCTATCTCTCGCGCTCCGAGTCTCATCAGCGACCGTCGGTCGCGTAGAAAAGCAGATACGTCCATCGGATTTTAAGCCACTCGCGGTCTATTTAATCGCGTTCACGTATCGACGCGACGAGTGCATCATTTACCTCTACGTTCTCGAGAATGTTGGCAAAAAAATCTTCGTCTTCGATGTATGGTTTTCGCGAAACTCGGCACGGGCTCAAAAATAGAAACTCGTTCCACAAAACGTAAATCACTGCTACGAACAAAGAGAAAAGAGGGAGAAGTTGGGAACGAGGAAGCCCTCGGGTCCCTCGGGGAGATTCGAGTCTGCCGGGAGGATCCAACTTTTTTTCCCGCGGAGTGTGAGCTCGAATGGATTTTTTTTTGCGATGAAAAGCCCAAGTTTCTCGACGCGACGAATCGAGGTCTCCTTGGGGGCGGGGAGGTTAGAGTGCTTCCGTAGGGTTACGTCTTTTTGGACCATGACATATGCATATTATATATCATATCATCGGTATGCATGCATCGGGAAGCAGACGCTCGAGGATATGTTGAGCCTGCTTGTTCGCCTCGCCCGGCAGGGCGTTCGGGGAACGAGGCGAACATAGACGACAGGCTGGCATCGAGAGAGCGAACTCTCTCGCTCTCGCTCACTCTCTCGCTCTCGCTCACTCTCTGTCACTTGGAGTTTTCACCTGCGACTCTTGCAGAACGTCATTCCCGTATTTTCGTCCTCGTACCGCGAAACTCTTAACCCAGTGGGGTCGATCGTACGATACTCGGTCTCATCTCGATGTACATACCGTGGTTCCCTGCATCGAAGGCCGTTTCCGCCCGTTTCTCCGAGTCGACCGACGACGAATCGAGTACCTTTCGGTCCGAGATTCCTCTTCTTCGATGCGGCCGGCGACGTACCGTGCACGTAGAGTAAAGGAAGTCGCGAAACGGACACGGGATCGCAGGAAAGGGAAAGCGGAGAGTTCGCCCCGTCTCGCCTGGGAGAAGACGAGAATCGAAACATCGAGAGACGAGTTCGCGAAACGTGGAATCGACCCCGTTCGAGCGTTTCATCGCGATGTTGCCTCGTCCTCGGCACGACAGACGGAGAGAAACGAAATCGGAGAGGCAGGAGAATGCGAAAAGGGAAACGGTCTTTCGCGAGACGCGAAGACGAAACGGCAGAAGGGTGGAAGAGCAAGACGACGGAGTCCATGGAGACTTATAAAAAAAATAGTCATCACTTCTAGGCGCTTTCTCGTGCACCGGTCATGCCATTTCTTCTCTCCTTCCAAAAGCTTTTTTTTTCTGACTTCGCTTGAATTTAGGCCATTCCCGCTCGATGATGCCGATGGGGGAGACAGTCGTGAACAAAATCCAAGACATCTTCTTCCGGACCCCCACGTACCCGATGGATGCTTCGACTTACTGCTTTTGCGGTTTTTCATCGGACCGGGAAACTCGTTCTTTCTTGGGTCTGCTCGAGGTTCCACGAAACTTTCCGCAAGGAAAAGGCAGAATCAAATCGGATGTACATTCTTAGAGAAGAATGAGCGATTTCCGAGAAAGGGAGCGAAACTGGAGTTACCGATTTTACTCCCTAAAAATGAGGAAGTACAATCGATAACTACTCCTTCATATGAGCAGAATCCATAACTTTTTTAAGAGCGCGAAACGGAGGGAGAGTACTTTTCAAACTAATAGAAAAAGTCAGTGGTTATTCTCGGGAAAGAGAGAGGTGAACTTCCTTGTTTTTAGGGAGTAAAATCGCTAAACTCCAGTTTCGCTACCTTTCTCGGAAATCGCTCACTCCTTTCTAAGAGTGTATGACGATTTGTCTCGTTTTTATTCGAATCGGGAGCTCTCGTCGAAATGGGGCCGACTCGTCCGAACATCGATAGACCGTTTCTGGGCTCTGGTATTTGTTCGCTCGTTTGCCCTAAAGAGGGGCTCTGTCATCGATCGGAAGGCACGAACCGTCGGTATCGAGCCCGGGTGATATTTACCCCCGGCCGCAGAAGAGGATCGGACTCCTGCCGTTACGTCTCGCGGAGTGGGCAGAGAACACACGGAGCGATACGGTCGAACGAGGACTCGGAATCGCGTGAAACCTCCCCCGGTTCCCTTCCCCGCCCCTCTGTGGGGTGGAGACCGGCAGTACGAGATGCGGTATCGATCGCATGAACCTTCCTCGACGATAACGAGTCTCGGCACGCACTCACGCGCACGACATCCAGCGATTCGGACTCCACGTTCCGTCTCGAACCGAGCGGTCGCTCCCCCGGATGTGCTCTCTGGGCTCGTGTTCGAGTCCCTCTCTTCCCGGATCCTTACACGCAAGGACGCATGCCTCGAATGAGGCCCGAAATCGACGGAATTCCGAGCATCACGCACGCGGTCACCTGCACGCTCCACGTGCTTTCTCTATGCTTCTCGTTCGAAGGCGAAACGCAGCAAAAACGACAACGCAGGAGAATTCGTTCCCATCGGACGAATGGGGAATGGAGAATGTTCGTTTCGACACGATGATCGTTTGCGTGGCATCGTACAATTCTCGCTAACGACAAAGAAAATCGCTTTCGGGTGGGCCGGTACGGTCTGTTTCTCGGTGTTTCGTTGCACGACGATACGGAACGAGCCGACGAGCTCGATCGTGGCCGGCCGGCATGCCGTCACGAAAAATCCCACTCGAGTAAAAAGCAATAAAAATGAAAGAAAACGACCGGGGCGGGTAGCCGACGAGACGAGAGCGTAGGACCCATTCCGTTTCGAACGGACGGGAATTAGGATTCCGAGCCTCGTCTTTCCTTTCTCCCGTTCTGCTCTCGTTCCGCTCCGATTCACAGGGGACGAGGTGAGTGAGTTTACATCGACCTGTGACACACGGGGGGAGGCTCTCCTGCCCGTTCCGCGTTCGAGAGGCCATTAGAGTAATTAGGTCCCGGGCCTCCTCTCGTTCGCATCCCGCCGGGGCGAACGACGAGGGGAATCTCGCGGGATGTGGAATCGGAGACTCGACACGCGCGCTTCTCCTTCGCGGAGGGGATGGATCGCGAGGTTTTCTTTTCCTCTCTCTCCTGGGAACGCGACGAAGACAAATTGAATCCGGGACGCACCTGCCGCTTTCCCACGGGAGAGTCCACCGCCACGGAACATCGTACACCCCTTCTTTCGTTTCCACTCTCCGTTTTTGGATCTTCCTCGGGATCCTCGTTCTCGGAACGTCGACGAACGGAAAGACCCGATACGAATCTTTCCGGAACTCGTCTCTCTGAGCGCTCCCGGACCGGCGAGTCGGACGAGAAGATTCGAGGAGACTCTGTGTGATCAACGTGACAGATGCAATCTTTCCCAAACGAAGAAGCGCAGAGGTGATCGATTAAATAAATGATTGGATGGGGAGGGGCGGAGGGGGGGGGGGGGGGGGGGGGGGGGGAACTTCGATTCTCCTCCACCATAGACCGACTCCCCCCTCGGAATCCGACGACGTCGGGCCGTGGAACGATAGAAGGGGATGGGATCGGAACGGAGGGTCTTGGAATATTTTTTCTAATTATTTGCAAGAGGTTAGAATCCCTCAGAGGATGATCCCCGGTTGATAGGATTTCCCCTGTTTGTTCTCATTACTCGGGGCCGGATCCCCCCGGATCCCCCGCTTCGTTCCCCGGGACACGAAACTCATTTACGGGCACCCGAGTCTCTCCCCCTCGCGACGAGAGCTCCGACGAACCGGATCCATCTGTTTGCAGGCGAAACGCGCGAGCACGAAACCAGTGCATGTACTCTCGGGGAATCAAGGGGGGGGGTCTCCCTCCCGGGACAGAACGCAATGAATAATCGAGACCATCTCGATGGCCTCTGAATTATACATGTCCCTTTGGATTTCCCTTCCCTCTCTCTCCGTCGGGCTGGATTTCCCTTCTGCGTTCCCCCGTTCAAAGGTCCTTCAAAGGGCGTCCCTTTTCCCTTTCCCTTCCGAGGATCTTCGTCTCTCCGTCTTCGATCGGAAGAATTCCTCGGACGGTTTCCATCGCGGCGAGTCGAAGCGCTCGACGACGCTCTTGCCGTCGTACTCGGAAGCCGTTCGAGATTTTCTCCGGCGAGAAACGACCGGATGGGAGAGTGGTCGCGGTAAGGAGAACGGCTTCGAATCGGAAAATCGATCGAGTTCTCGGTTATTTTTGTTTCCCCTCGAGCGATATCGATTTTATGCAATGTCGTCGCTCCCGTGTATGCATTATCGTGTGTATGCATATTGCGGTATGAATGATTTATTCGTAACCCGAATGCACCCGACAGAAGGAGAATTTGGAAGGCTAGAATCCTCGGTGAAATGCGGCACCGAAAGCGCACTCCGACGGGCACGCCAAGAGGGCCGAGAACGAGCATCGATACGGGCTTACCCCGATTTCGTCGTGTAGGTTTCTCTTTCATTCCGCCCTCTGATGAATACGAAACCTGTTCGCATCCCGACGAGAGCGGGAAACGTAATGCGAGGAGCATCTCCTCGTCGAGGGTCGGATGTGTGGCTTCGGCATTAGGGATCCGCGAATGCATTTCCCCTTTCCTTCCTTCGAGGCTTCTTGCCGATTTTTGTTCGGAAAGGAGCCCGGGCCCCCGGGCCGGAGCCGTGACGTCGATCCTCGTCTTCTCAGTCCGCGCGACGTTCGAGAGTCGAATCCGGGGAGGCGAGATCCCCGTTACGATTCCTTTAATTTCGTTTTCCCTTCTTTTCCCCCGAAGGTGATCGGAGAGGTGGAGAGAGGACGAGGTCGACGTCACGGGTCCCTCGCGGTCTCGATGCCGAAAGAGGCGCGATCCTTCCTCGTCTGAGTCCGAGCGTTCCGACGCGATCCGCACCGCCGACGCCGACTCGAACGGTCCGAGTCTCCTCCTTCCGCATCGCGACCGTCTCGAACGTCGAAGATGCCGCTCGTACCGATCTTGAACGTGAACGTGGACTTCGCCGAACTGTCCCACGCCGTCACGGCGAAGTACGACGAGATCTACAATCGCCTCCAGGACGAAAAGAGTCAACGGAAGCTGGTGCTGGTCATCGTGTCCATCGCCCTCCTGCTGGACAACATGCTCTACATGGTGATCGTCCCCATCATCCCGGACTTCCTCCGGACGCATTCCACGTGGGAGACTCACATGGAAGGCGGGCAGGACGTCACCGATTACGCCAGAGTGCACGGCAACGAGAGCTGGAACGACACCTCTCTCGAGCCGAGACTGTTGAAGAACGTCGGAGGAGTCCTGGTCTACGAAGGCGAGGACACGGCCATCGGGTGGCTCTTCGCATCCAAGGCCATCATTCAACTGATGGTGAACCCGTTTTCCGGTTGGATCATCGATCGAGTGGGATACGATAAGCCCATGATGGGGGGACTCCTCATCATGTTCCTCTCGACGGCCGTGTTCGCCTGCGGACAATCCTACACCACCCTGTTCCTGGCCAGGAGTCTTCAAGGCGTGGGATCCGCTTTCGCCGATACCTCCGGCATGGCCATGATCGCCGACCGGTTCACGGAAGAAAACGAGCGGCAGATGGCTCTCGGAATCGCACTGGCGTTCATTTCCTTCGGCTCCCTCGTGGCTCCTCCTTTCGGATCCGTTCTCTACGAATTCGCCGGGAAGGAGGTCCCTTTTCTCATCCTGTCTTTCGTCTGCCTCGTGGACGGAATCATGCTCGTCTTCGTCATGAGACCGGTGAAGGCGAAGATGAAGGAGATGGGGATCGAGAGACTTCACGGCACTCCCATCTGGAGGCTGTTGATGGATCCGCAGATCGCGGTCTGCGCCGGGGCCCTCGTCATGGCCAACGTGAGCCTGGCCTTCTTGGAACCCACCATCACCGTCTGGATGATCGACAACATCAAAGACATTCAGAACTGGCAGACGGGTATGATCTGGCTTCCCGCTTTCTTCCCCCACGTCTTCGGTGTCGTCCTCACCGTGAAACTGGCTCGAAAATATCCGCAAAAGCAATGGATCATGGCCGCTGCCGGCCTGGGCATGGAGGGACTCTCGTGCCTCGTCATCCCCTTCTCGAATACCTACTGGGTCCTCATGATACCCATCTGCACCATATGCTTCGGGATCGCCCTGATCGACACCGCGCTCTTGCCGACGCTGGGTTACCTCGTGGACGTTCGATACGTCTCGGTCTACGGGAGCATCTACGCCATCGCGGACATCTCCTATTCCATGGCGTACGCGATCGGACCAGTGATTGCCGGAGGGATCGTCGCCTCCATCGGTTTCGTTGCCTTGAATCTCCTCATCGCCGTCTCGAATCTCCTTTACGTTCCCGTGTTGTCCACCCTGAAGCACATCTACGACTACAAGCCGTTCGAGGACGAGGCGAACATCTTGATGACCGAGAATCCTCATAAACAGTATCAGACTTACCGGATGGACGACAAAGGGATGCCGAACAGTCTCGGAGGAAACCGACCTCCCGACTACGGTCGACTGGACGAGGAAGAGGATCCCAAGCCCTCCTCGAGCACTCTCGGTCGAACTCACTTCGGCAACGTCAACGGTCACGTGAGGTTCCAGGACCAAGTCGGAGGGGAGGAAGGAGGAGCGGATCGGCCGGAAGCAGCTGCCGGGTACCAGGAACCAGTCCCACCCGTCAATCCCTTCAATCCGTTCAGGCAGAGCTGAGTCCTCCGCGTCTTCGCGTTTATCCCAAACTCCAATTTCCGCCATTCTAGTTCGTTCGATCGGTCTTCGCATCTTAGCAGATCCGCCTGGCGTGCTCGACGCGGAAGGAAACGGGACGGCAATATATCGTAGGCGATGGCATCTTCGAAACTGCAGTTGTGATATTCATCGTTTCTATAGTGTCATTCTCGTTCCTTCGATTTCGGCTTCGTGTCGTTCGTTCTGTCGGTTTTAGAAACATATTTTGCCGATCCTCGGTCTTCTCCGAGGGATGAGTTAAGGCGCGATTGGAAAAAGTTATTTTTGTGACATGTGTTGTACGATGTTTACTTTTCCTTTTTTCCTTTTCTCTTCTCTCTCTTTCTCACTCTCACTCTCTCTCTCTCTCTCTCTCTCTCACTCACTCGTCCTTCCTCTTTCCGTTTCTATCGAAGCTGAAAGAAATCCAAGAAAAAGAACATATCAACCGAGTAACGGAGACATATCAGATTTGAAATTTTTTTTTTTTCTCGCTTGGTGTAGCCCATTAGGCACGCTGTATTCGGTGGGATGAGATGTGTAGACAAGGATGTATCTCTCTTTAGGTCTCTCTCTCCTCAGCAATAAGGATTTTTATATTCCCCCGGAGATCGGACGGTCCCTGCGTGATACGATTTCCAGAAGTGTTCGTACGCGTCTCGATGAAAATGCGGAAGAGGTGCTATTCCGTGTCCCTTGCGATCCGCGAGACCACACGTAAGCTCGTGTCGGTGATCCGAGGCCCCGGGGGGAAGATGCTCAACGTTTTCTCGGATCTTCGGTCTCGTCGCGACGCGTCCCTTCGATGTCACGAACGTCTCTTCGCGACGCGTTCCTCTCGCGCGTACGCGTCGGTGCGCACTCGAGTCCTCCGGGCTTCCCAGCTCTACGTGTCGTCTCCCACGATTCGCGCCGCTTTCCGCGGCGGGTCGTCGTCGTTCGCGTGCGTTCGAACGTCGGCACGCGATCGTCGTCACCGTCGACGCGACTGCGGTCTCGTGCGATCGATCCGTCTCTCGCTCGCGACACGGGGGGGGGGGGGGAGACGCAGTCGTTTTTCGTTCGTCTTGCCCTCTTCGCCCATCCGCCTCATCCCTCGTGCCGTAAAGTCCCACGAAATCCAATTTCTTTCCTCCCTTCCGCCTCTTTTCGGGTTCTCGTTTCTCCCGTCTTTTCCTCCTGCGTTTTTCTTTTCCCTCGACGCCGAAAGGAGCCGCATCGGGCAGGATCTGCACGGAGGGAATCGAGCCGGTCCGTCGACTCTCCCGGCAGGAGCCATTCCCGTTCGGTCCCTCGGGATCCATCGAGAGCGAGGAATGCACATGCAAATGGACTCATCATCGACCTCCATTCCCTTCCTCTTTTTTTTCGTTCCGTTTCGGGCGTCGACGACGAGTTTCCCTCTCGAGGGGACGAGAGAGACGAGAAGTCGAGTCGACCTCGACGACGCATGAAGAGTCCTCGTGCAGAAAAGGGGGATTAGAAAGGTGTTCCTGGGGGGGCTCTTAATTGCCATCCCCACTAAGCCGTGGAATTGCATGGAAGCTTCATACAATGGGTCTCCTCTAATCCACTCTCCTTCCCCACTTCCCCTTCCGCTCGGAACTTCTCTCGTCGCGGTGGCATTCGGGTCTTTCGGCTGCACCCGTTCCGTCGTGTGGGAGCCGGGTTCCCCGGGCGGTCAATGAGAGAGAAGAAAAACGTTTGAATCTTTATTAACGATTTGGACTCTCGCCGAGGGCAGATGGGGAAAAAGTGAAGGACGAGGACATGGACACGGACACGAGGAAGGAATGTGGAACTCTCGCACGACTTTAAACTTGGATGGACGAAGAGGGCAAGACGAACGAAAAACGACTGCGTCTCCCCCCCCCCTCCCGTGTCGCGAGCGAGAGACGGATCGATCGCACGAGACCGCAGTCGCGTCGACGGTGACGACGATCGCGTGCCGACGTTCGAACGCACGCGAACGACGACGACCCGCCGCGGAAAGCGGCGCGAATCGTGGGAGACGACACGTAGAGCTGGGAAGCCCGGAGGACTCGAGTGCGCACCGACGCGTACGCGCGAGAGGAACGCGTCGCGAAGAGACGTTCGTGACATCGAAGGGACGCGTCGCGACGAGACCGAAGATCCGAGAAAACGTTGAGCATCTTCCCCCCGGGGCCTCGGATCACCGACACGAGCTTACGTGTGGTCTCGCGGATCGCAAGGGACACGGAATAGCACCTCTTCCGCATTTTCATCGAGACGCGTACGAACACTTCTGGAAATCGTATCACGCAGGGACCGTCCGATCTCCGGGGGAATATAAAAATCCTTATTGCTGAGGAGAGAGAGACCTAAAGAGAGATACATCCTTGTCTACACATCTCATCCCACCGAATACAGCGTGCCTAATGGGCTACACCAAGCGAGAAAAAAAAAAAATTTCAAATCTGATATGTCTCCGTTACTCGGTTGATATGTTCTTTTTCTTGGATTTCTTTCAGCTTCGATAGAAACGGAAAGAGGAAGGACGAGTGAGTGAGAGAGAGAGAGAGAGAGAGAGAGTGAGAGNTCGAGTCGGGAGATGTGACAGCTGAAAGGAGGATAGCAGTGGGTAGCATAGAGTAGCATGATACACACGCGTGAGAAGAGAGTTAAGACAAGAATAGCAGTGGATAGCATAGAGTAGCATGGTGCAGACACGGTAGAATACGATATAGAAGATGGTAGCAATGAGTAGCATGGTGCAGAGAGGGAAGAATACGGCATAGATTAGAGTAGCATTGGGTAGCATGATTCGTATAGTGGATACCATAGAGCGTCAATGGTGTATACAGAAGAGAGGAGTTACATGACGAATTTCGCCGAAAGCAAATGGAGCCTCGAAAGCAAATGGAGCTTCTGGAGGAATTCGCCTCCTACGGCTGTAGGCATAGAAGGAACGGAGAGAAGTGGTTTCTCGACGGAAGGATGCGGGGAAATCGATAAGGACACGTGTGCCATCACGAAGGACTACTTCGTTGCAGGCACTGGAGACCATTAGGGGGAAATACGGGGCTTATAAAGCTGCACGATTCCATCTTCCGAGTTTCTGACGTGGATTGCACCACGCACGAGGACGTCTTCCACTTTCCTCCACCCGTGTATCTGTGGGTCACACGAGGCTTACCTTCCGTCTGGCGATTTTCTCGAGTAGTTACGGTGACGAGGCAACCGACGTATGCGCTTCCAGAAAGTCTTCTCCCGTTCTCATCTATCGACCCTGACGGAAAAATCGCACGCGTGATCCAAAAAAAATCACACGGGTGCTCACACGGGTGAGCACCCGTGTGATTTTCCTATTCCGCCTCGAGGCGGAATGGAAATACCCGATGCAGTAGCCGTTCACCACCTCGAGGTCCTTCGACGACCCGAACCGGCGCTCTCTGTCCGTTTCGTGACTGCACCTTCGAGCTCTTAGACTGGGGCTTCATATAGGCAGAGTATAGGAAAACTTGCGGAGATATTAATTATTTTTTGCTTCGAGAGCCCTCAGGGAACGTTTTCAAAGTCCTCTCTGCGATAGTGTAGGCACGATTCCTCGATGCCATGCCGGAGAGAGTCCACATGCATACGGTTCCCTTCGGATTTCATCACGCGACGTGTCGGACGTCGTACGCCCGGACGCGACGACGCCCGCCGAACGAAGAGAGCCGTGCGAACGAACGCACGAACTTGGAATTCCCCCTCGACTTCGACGTTCCCCCTTTTTTTCCATCGACCGACTCTTCTCGTCGGATTCCAACACCCGATGGAGATCGGTGCGAACTACGAAACCGTCCTGCACTCTGTCATTTTTTTTGGAATCAGCTTTCGTACACGGGTGGTCTATGGCTTCTGAATCTAAACGAATCGGTGGTATGGCATGATGTGGAGGTCCACCGGAGGGCCACCCGGAGGTCCACCGGAGGGCCACCCGGAGGTCCACCGGAGGGCCACTTTTCTCCCTCTCTCGGGCATACGGTCGGCTCTACTCGCTGCTAAACACTCGCTTGGGCTTAAACAGTCTGTTCTCTTTTGCTCCGGGTGCGACGATTTCAAATCGTTCGCGAGAAACGATCATCTGTTTCGTGATGTGGGATTTCGTTCGTGACGTGGACCGTCACACGCTTTTCTCCTCATCCGGGCAATTTCCGCGAAACGGCTTCCGAAAATTCCCCCCGTTCCGACCGTGAACCGACGAGAAATTTCGCTCATAAACATGAGGTATTTCGAAGTAAACTCTTTTTCTAGGAAGGATCGACGAAACCGTCGAGAAAAAAATCAAATCAGGCTCTATTGCTGCCAAATCTCTTGAAAGTGGACGAGAATAAAGCAGAGAAGGCCCAACCCGACTCGCAGTCTCAGTTCAGCCGCGAATCATCGACAAAATGTTGCATTTCCCTTTTCGTTCCGGATTCATCTCCAGAGAATAAGGATCGGTTCGACTCTGATGCAAATGATCGGAATTTGATGCGAGAGTCTGAGTCGAGTGCATGAAGCTTCGAATATATTGGCTCATCGTTCTTCCGTTTGGAAGAGTGATGAGCCACAAAGATGCATTAAAGATCGCGAAGCCAGTACTGCATCTCAACTATGAGAGTACTGCACGTGGCCCATCTCGTTCCCACCGGCCGACTGTTCTTCCAGAAGCACCGAATGCAACAACATACGGCTTCATGGTTTCTTTCATTTTTTATTGCTCAAGAGGTGTTATGAGAAAAAAATAATAGATTTTGATTCGAAATTGGATATATTCCACTCAGAAATTAGAAAGCCTCGATTTGAGTCGGGTTTAGTATTCTAATTAATAAATCTGATTATTATTGTCATCCTTATTAATTTGGGTCTTAATGCCTGAAGTTAATCTATTGAACTCTGAAATCGTCATTTCAAAGGAACAGAGATATGGATAAAATTATTATCTCGAAAAAGTCTGATACGAAGATTTCTGGGAGAAACGAGATACCCCCCCC